TATTTATTAAAATATATTTAAAATTAATTAATTATTATATAATTTTAAAGATTTAATTTTTTTAATTTAATATTGATTTTTAAAAATATATTTTAAATCCGATCAAGTAAATGAACAAATAATTACCGATGGATATATCGTCGATATCTAATTATCTATTTACCAAAATTATTAATTTACCGACGAATATTTCCGTCGGTAATTATTTATTTATTTACCGACGGATTTACTGACGAATATATCCGTTAATAATTAATTATTCATTTACCGATAGATTTATCAACGGATATATCTGTCGGTAATTAATTGTTCATTTAGCGACGGATATATCCGTTGGTAAGACCAAATTCCATAACTACTTTAAATTCGTCGGTAATCACTTATTTTTCGACGGCTACATATCCGTCGGTAAATATCCATCGGTAATATAAGATTTTCTTGTAGTGAGTTTATACACTTTCTCCTCCATTTTTACTTTCTCAAATTTTGGAGGCTTTCTTACATAAACTTCCTCCTCTAGAGGACCATTTAAAAATGTAGATTTGACATTAAACTGGTTTATTCTCCAATTTTGCTAACTTGTAACTGCTACTACCAGCCTCACGATTTCAAGTCTTGCTACTGGTGCAAAGACATCTCCAAAGTCAATTCCTGGTTTCTGTAAGTACCCTTTAGCAACCAACCTAGTCTTATGCTTAGAAATTGATCCATCCGGTTTATACTTGGTTTTAAACACCCATTTAACATCAATAGGATGTTTGTGCAGTGGCAAATTCACCAATTCCCACGTTCTAGTTTTCTCGATTGATTTCAGCTCTTTAATAATAGCTTCCTTCCATTCTCTAATATCCAGTGCTTCCTTCCATGTTAACACTTCTGCATCAGCTAGGAATGCTAAATGCACAAGGTCTCCTGAATCTGCTACTTCATTGTCACCAAAAATCTCATGGTCTGATAATCAGCTGGAGGGAAATCTCTGCCTTTGGGATCTTTTGGTGTTTGTTGTAATGACTGGTGTATTACTTGTTGAAGTATCATTTTCTTCCAACATACACGGGATGCTCATTCATTTCTGATGCAGGTGCATTTTTATCCTAATTCCAAGTGGTTGTTTCATCCACAATTATATCCCTGCTAACAACGATTTGTTTCTTCTCTTGGGTCATATAGTTTATATGTCCCAATTGCATGGTACCCAACCAATATAAGAGGCTCGCTCCTATCTTCCAACTTCTTTCTTCTTTCAGCTGGAATATGTCTGTATGTAACATATAGATCCGAAAATTCTGAAGTGCTTCATTAAAGGCTTATCTCCTGACCATGCTTCCTCTGGAGTTGCTCCTTCTACACCTTTGGTTACAAATCTATTCAGTATGTACGTAACTGTTGAAACAACTTCTCCCCAGAATTCATTTGGCAATTTCTTTCCTTTCAGCATACATCGCGGGTCATGTTGAGCAGCATCTTATTTCTTCTCTCGGCAACACCATTATGCTGGAGTGTATATGGAGCTATCACCTCATGCTTGATCCCTCTCAATTCACAAAATTCAGCTAGTTCATTAGAATTAAATTCTCCTCCATCAGTGCGAAAGATTCCAATCTGCATACCTGTTTCTACCATGTTGCAGAATCTAATAAAATGCTTAAGAACTTCCTTTTTCTCTTTCAGCAAATATAGCCATATCTTCCTAGTCCATTTATCTACAAATATAAGGAAATATTTGTTACCTCCAAATGATTGAACATCGAATGGACCGCACACATCTGAATAGACAACATCAAGTGGCTTCTTTGCTCTTTTCGGTGCTGACTTCTTGAATTCTTTCCTTGTTTGCTTGCCAACAATACATCCTTCACATATTTTTGTTTGAATATTAATCACTGGCAACCCAACTACTAATTCTTTGCTGCTCAATTCACCTAAGCTTTTAAAATTTAGGTGTCCAAACCGATAATGTCATAACCAACTCTCTTCCTCCATACTTACTGATGACAAACATTTAACTGCAGTGGCATTCAATAAAGGAGCTTTGATCAATAAACGTTGTTTATTATCAAACACCTCAATATGATTTTCTTGCATCGACATTGAGTATCCTCTTTCCAGTAGTTGTCCAAGACTGAGTAAATTGTTTTTCATTGTAGGTACATACAATACGTCATTCATATATGCGGTTTTACCATCTTTTCGTGTGATCATCACTTTGCCAACACCTTCCGCCATTATTGTGCTATTATCTGCAAAACGCACACTGCTTCTTACGTTGGGATCAAGGTCAATAAGCCATTCCCTTTTTCCCGTCATGTGATTCGAACAACTCATATCCAAGTACCAATTAGAATCATCAACTCCATTATTTGTTGTGACCATCAACAGTACATGATCTGATTCAAAATCATCATCGTCTTGAGCAAGATGAACTTCATTAACTTTTTTCCCTTTCTTCACCGAATCATTGTGCCAACACTCATAGGAGAAATGTCCAAATTTGTTGCATGTGTAACATTGAATCTTACTTTTATCGAAAGATTGCATACCTCTATCTCTTCCTCTATAATTTTTGTCTCCTCTATTACTAGCCTTTTGTGATGCTCCAAAATCTTCACTGGAAGGAATGCTCTGATGAAGATTCTCTACCTTTGCCTCCATTTCTTCCATCTTGTACCCTTCCTCTGCCGCATTTATTTCTGTGCCCTCTTCCTCGGTAAAAATCAGATTTCACTTGAAGAACTTGATCTCTAATCTTTTCACCATTCTTTTGCTCAATCAGTCTCTGCTCATGTGCCTCCAAAGAATTTTGTAGCTCTTCAAAGGACATCTTCTCAGTATCCTTCGACTCCTCAATAGCAACCAAGATATGATTGAACTGAGGGGTTAAAGTACTAAGAATCTTCTCCACAACCTTGCAATCTTTCACTGGTTCATCACATGCTCTCATTGAATTCACCAACACCTTTAACCTTCCAAAATACACTGAGATAGATTCTTGATCTGTCATAGACAATAGCTCATATTGTCTATGTAAAGATTGCAACTTAACCTTCTTGATCTTCCCAGAATTACCATATGCATCTTTCAAAATATCCCATACCTCTTTCGCAGTAGCTACTCTTGAGATTTTCTGAAAGATTGTTGTTGAAACACACTGATGTAGCAACATCCGAGTCTTGCAATCCAATCTTTTACTCTCTCTATACGCATTCTTTTATTGGTAGGTTACCTGGCACCATTCCTCTAGTCATCTTGAACTCACACGCAGCAACCTCACGTACCACACAACCCTTTCAACCTATGTTCTGATACCACTATTGACTCCAAGACACACAGAAAAAAAAAAATAAGATGGAAGTTTGGAGAGAGAAAAACAATATATATTTTTTACGTACTTTTTTGCATGTGCATGATACAACGTATGTATAAGGCAAAGTGTAGTTACAACTTTAAATTTTATCTCAACATGTCACACTATATATTCCTTGAGTCGAGCCCGCGTTTTGATCTGTTCAATCCAACATAGAATAACAAGCGCTTAAAGATTAAATAACAAAACCCAGACAAAGACAAAATAAAGAAAAAATAAAAAATAAACGTTACACATATCCACTGTCATACTAAGAATAACTCGCTATCAACAAAACAAGAAATATCGTGCTCACTTATCATCACCATTTTAAGTTCACAAGTAATTCTTTTAAACCAGTAAGCAAATAACACATGTTATCATGACATTTTGTAAGACAAGTGAAGGATCAATGATGCAAGGGGTTATTCGTGGACCTTGTGAGCGATGGAATAATATTGTTAGAGAAAAACAAAACAATGACAAATTCAGAAACATTTTCCACAGTAGTTTTACGATATAAGCATGATGAGTATATTTGTGAGATAGATATCCAAGAAATCAACTGAAGGTATATCATGAACTTCATCTGTTTCTATTTTTGCTTTGAGGTAGGTATCGCATAGGAAATTTTATAAAAGAAATGGAAAATAAATTTCTTACAATTTCGGGAGGTCCTTGAAAATTCATTTTATTTGGAAGAATTGTGAGAAGAGAGGAAAGATATGCACGTCAACGTTCTCTTTAACCTTCAATGGGAAGAAGTGAGAGTTAACGAGAGATGATAAAGAAAGAGAAAAACACGACATGGAATGTTACAGGAAGTTCAAATGCGTTACAGTGGAGAATTGGAGGATCTAACTATATATAAAGGGGTGAACTAAGACATTAAGACTGACAATAACTAACTTAGTCTTTGACTATATATCTTCACATTCTTACCCACTCATCCTAGTGAATTAAATTACATATGCATATATATTAACTTGTATTTATTTATATTAATTTATTAGAATAGGTAATAGGTTTAAATCAATACATTAACAACTCATGATAACACAAAAAATCACAGCTCCAAATATTAATAAATATAAATCAATAAAACTTTTTTAAAATCACAATCAATTTGATTAGTATAAAATACTGAAGTGTCTATATAAATTAATTTACAATTTTGGTGTCTCCTTAAGTTATACACAAAATATCTTTCAAAAATACTAAGTTATGCATAATGTAGTTTTTTATTTATACAATAAACCAACACTTTGATGTGGGTAACCCTATCCTTAAATTGTTTTCGTCCTTAAATTGTTTTCGTTAATAGTGAATGAAATTTTATCGTCAAGTGTTTCACAAAATATAATGATAGAGTTTTGAAATTTAATTTTTCCGAAGTAAAACAAAATTATAAAAAATATCATTACTTTTATTAAATAATTTAAAATAAATAAGTTTTTTTTTCCTTTACTAAACCATGAATGAAGTTCAATTTAGTCCCCATTTTTAAACGTTAGATTTGAGTTGTTAAAGTAATAAAATTTTAAATTTGTTCATTGGTTGGGATTGTGTGGGCTAGAAATGCATGAGATTTCAATATTCTGGGCATGGTTCCTTTCATCTTCTGAGAAAGTAAAAAAAAAAATCATTACAAGGCCGATTATATCTCCCTCTTCCGTAATTCCTGCAAAAGTGATGCCAGAGAGAATTAGTTTCATGGAAGATGAAAGCATTAGCATTAATCTTTGTGGTTCCTTTCAAAGGGTGGTATTGGTGTTACCTGTTGGATGACCATCAGCGATAAACGCGCTCGCTCCTTCTTCTTGCGTTTGCATTCCCCACACCAGCTTGGAAAATCTCTCTGATATTTCTTCAACTCTCTGAAAGCCGTACTGTGACAACAACACCAACACCAATGTTTATGCATAATGTAATTGACAACAACTATACTTATGATTTGCAATCTAACGTCTTTTGTAGTAAAAAAGGGTGATGTCAAATACCTTCTACACCATATGATTAAATTCGTCCTATTCCCAGATATTGTTGGTCTGGCCCCATGCCGTTGACGACCAGGATGAAGAATCACGTGTCCCGGAGCATGGAAATAATTGAAGATCTCCTACAAAGATAGGTTGGAATTATTTATTTAACAAAGTAAATGTCTTCATGTACATGTTTATAATATTTCCGTAATGCTATTGAATTTCAGTATGAATGATATGAAATGTACACCTAAAAAATTTATAACAAATTTTTCCATTAATGCACCTAAGAAATAAATAGAATGTTCAGGTTAAAAGTATGAGATCGTTTTTTATGGATTTATAAGGTTTTGGGCTCTCCAACTACAACAGGTTTCTGTTGTGATGTCATTCGAGTATATAACTTTTAGGGACAAGAGATAGTGATGGGACAGCAATCCATAACGCCAAAAGGGTATGAAACATCAACTGGTGTGAGCATTGCTATTTTCTCTTTCAAGTTTAAAACAAAATTTATATACGCGCTTGAGATCAATGTAGCTAAATATAAATTGTTCAGCATAAATATAATTTCACATGACAGTAAGGTAGTGAACATAAACCTGGTTGGGCATTTGAAAGTAAATGTTCTTCACATCGAACACCCTGGAAGAATACTTCTCCGCCAGAAAATTCTTTCCCCAAGCAAACATTTAAGGAGACTTCTGCGTCATCTACATGTAAGCCTGCAAAAATATTGTTCTTTAGATTTCAACTAAAATTCTCGGGTGTCAGAAGACTCCTCAATATGCAAAGTTTAGGGGAGGGTCATTGTATGCATATGCAAAAAGACTATTTTCAAATTTGAACCCTTGATCAACCGATCACCAAGGCATAACTTAAACTCAACACCTGGGCTCACCCTCTTTTGGTTTCAAGAAAATATTTTTATAATGCTAATTTGGTGGGAGAAAGTAAGGAGAAGGACAGGCAGCCAAGAAAGCAAAGCACGCAAGATACACTGATATACTAGAAAAATATGTAAGCAACAAAAAGTTAAGCAATATAAGAAGGGAAAAGATCTAGCACAGAATTGAATTCTTGAGAGAATGCCTAACATTCATGACTTATGATGGAATAAAAAAGGAGGCAACATGAAAGAATTTTAAAGTAACCAAGTAGGATTTGTTGTAATTTACCAAAGTTAAACCAAAATTAACCAAAGTATCATGACAGTTACAGAGAGTATTCTCTGACCATAAGCTAAAAATATCTTCACACCTGTTTAAACAACCTACTATCAGATATATCTCTTTATACATAACTACCCACAGTTATTTTCTACATATAACTGCCATAATTGTCCTTCAATATTTGTTCCTGTCATCACTGCTTTCTGAAAATATCAGCCTTGTTCCCAAGCTGAAAGTTGGAAACTGGTTTTTCCACATTATCTATATCACTTCTATAGCAATTACTTCTCCATCTTCATTTATTATCTCCCAAAATTACCAATCTTAATTGTTTTCTGCAAATTGATTTAAGGGATGAAACTTTTCTCCATGCCTAAAGCACAAACCCTTGTTTTTGTTTTCCATCAATAATTGGTATGTTAAGTGGCACACACCCTTATTGATCTCTGCTGAATTTCGTTGTTCACGCTTTGTTCTTCTACCCAAGAATGCTACAGATGATGAAGTTCCTTTGTTTTGGCCAGGCCAGATTGATTGATATTTGAGTTTGAATTACTGAACCAATTTTGGCTTCCAATCCAGCTTCAGTCACCGTACGTTTGTAACAGTAATAATTAATCCTGCATCACCTTGAGGACCATACAACCGCTTTGATGACTAGAATATCCCATTTTTGCATGCCAACTTGAACTCCCTATTCCAGGCACAAGTACATTTGTTTTTACCTCTATACTTTGTGCATACTGCACCGCTTAAATTCTTGTTTCAATTAAAAAGTTTACACCCAGTCCTTAATTTCAGGATGCAAAAAACACCCAAATATTGTTCTTCAAGTAAATTATTAGCTTGTCTTAAATTTGGATTTGAACCTAACAAACCCTATAAAACCAAATTCTAAGGTGAGGTTTTCTCTAAATGGTTTATCACTAATGTAAATCTAACCACAAACTTTGAGGTTGGAATTAAAGTAACCTCTAAAGAGGCCGAAAATAAAGTGGACTAAGAGTGATCCCAATTAAGGCAGCTTACCAACAACTTGTGATGAGAGAAATTCAACTTCTTCTATATACACTCTTCCATCGATCTCTCCTGTTTCAAGAACTATGAAATTCAACGATTTCATATTGACCCCCCCAAGCCCCCAAACATTGTCGCATGTGCTGCTTCAACTTTTTCCATATAAGTCCATCTTCCATTTCTCTCGATAGATTAAACCAATGGATAATAATAGAACCCTTCATGCTTAACTTTGCTAATTTACTCTTCATGTCTTAGCTAATATTCTAAACTTCAACTAAGTTGTTGCCCTTGTGATCCACCCAATAGGGTCTCATCTAGGGATGGCAAAACGGGCCAGGCCCGGCGGGCTACCATAATATGGCGGGACGGGTTGGTGCTTTCAGCCCATCAGCCCGCTTTGGCCCGCCCCATCAAGCCCGCCAACCCGTCGGGTCAACCCATGGGACGGGGCGGGCCAGCCCGCGGCCCACCTAATTAATACAAAAATATTTTTTTATTGTAATAAAATTAATTATAAAGATAGTATATAAAGTTAAAAACTTTAAAAAGAGAATTAAAAAGTTTCACTCTCACATAAAATATTCTCCTTCCTGAAACACAACTTTCTCTCTTATATTCTCCTTGTTTATCCTAAGCATCGATTATTTTTATTTTTATAACTTAATTAAAGATGTAAGAATTACTCAACCAAGTTTTATCAAATAAAAAAGATATAAGTATTTGAAATTTTCAATATAAAAAATATAAATTTTATAAGTTTTAACATTATTTATATATATATATATATATATATATATTTGTTATTATTTATTATTATATAAATTTTATTATTGTTCTAAATTATAATTTCTTAAAATAATGTATTGATTTATATTATTAAATTGAAATAATATATATATATATATTGAATTATTGACAAACAAATAATAATTTTATTATTAAATTTATTAAAAAAAATTATTTTAATAAATAAATTATTTTTTTTAAATTATGGCAGAGCCAACCCACAAACCCGCCCCTTGACGGGACGGACCAAGGTCTATAGCCCGTCATGACTATAACGGGCTAGCCTGCCCCGCCCCGCTTTGCTTTTGGCAGGCCAAAGGCGGGACGAGCTGCCCGTTTTGTCATCCCTAGTCTCATCTCCACTGAAAGATAGTAGTTCAGCTTTCTTAACTGCCATACAGAGTTCATCTAAGTCTAAAAATGGTTGAATCCGATCCTCTCCCGTTTTATGCCTGATAACCTGACTTTTTTTTCTCTTCTTCACGCTTGCCCATTAATTTTCTCATATCCAACAAAATTTCTCAAAATTTGCTAACTTCTAGTCCAAACTGACCCCTACTCAAGCCTGAACCCCTGGCTTGCAGCCCTTCCAATTTATCTTTCAATTCAAAAGGTCTCTATATCACACATGTCATGATCTTTCTTTCCACTGGTCTCAAGAATTCCCTCCCTTTGATCAGGCAGCTCAGACCAAATTGATTGAGTAGAAGTAATAAAAGACAATATTGAACAATAAAGTCACACAATACAGTAATATACTTGCTGGCCTAGAGACAAAAGGACTCCTATTACACAAATACAGCAAAGTATTTGATGTCCCAGAGATTAAGGTTTTCATTTTTGAATAAGGGGGGCTATAAAATATTAAAACTAATAGAATTTCATGATAAATTATTTGTTCCATTCTACAAGGCTCTCAAATTTGAGAATATATACTTGTAATGAAAATTTTACCCTCCCCACCCCCAAAAAATCCTTAGGGGATAAGGCATCCCACTACACAAATTTTATTAGACAAAACAAGCATATAAGGCATTGTGGCTAACAATGTAACCAAACAAAAATATCTCAGTATTTCATACAATCTGAAAAGTCTTCTGCATTTTTATTTTTATTTTCTTATCCTTTAGTTACAGTTACAAAGAATAAAAATCTGTAAGATTTATAGGTAAAAAACGCATATTCCATCAAGAATATGATTCAAGTAGGATAACATAAAACCATATACACGTGCCTGAAACATTAAATTCCATTTTGGTTTAAATTTTTTTATTACAGATTGCATCTACAAAGCAGTGACCAAAGATCGAGAAACATACCAAGTTCCACGTCTTTATTGATTCCATATTCAACAACAAAACCATGGTGAGAGTCCACCGAGGATCCACCAAATTCACGGTAGAAAACTACAAAAAAAAAAAAATCAAATTGCACAAGTTAGTCCACGTCATTATTTTAGTTTCTTCCTGTCAGTCATAATTTTCTAATTTATTCTCATTAAGAAAAATAATAAATAACCTCGTGACATAGGATGTATGAAGTCACTCAAAAATCTGTCAAGCATGATTTCCAGGCCAAAATCATCAAGAACAACACCATGTTTATTCATTGCATTAGGTCGCATGATTCTTAGTTTGGTACCACGAACCCATCTTTCAAAACTATCCACCTAAGCAATCAAAACTTGATAAGAACACAAAAACACCAATATAAGATGGATAAAAATTACATATGCATGAAAAGGAAAGGAAAGAAATGTGATACCTCAGACATCAGTTTTTTACAAAATTGTGGTTGAAGCATTTCAAAAGTATAAATTCCTTTTCGAGGTTCAGCCATTATACTTCTAAAACTTGCTTCGGTGTTTTCTTTAATTGCTCTGAGAAATGATGGCGTGAAAAAGTTCTCAGCATCCATAGTATATATCTCCCTATGCAGTGGCTGTAGAAAAAGTTAATAACTGGTAAGATCGAGCAACATTGGAACATCATGCTACATAGAAAGGAGACTGTATGACTGTTCTCAATTCAGAAAATTCTAATGCTAACATGTGCTCATTCAAAATTCTCCCAAATAAGTACCAAATAAGATATGTCTCCTGTTAATGTTGATAAATTATTCCGTCAGCATCATTTCCCACAATTTCAGAAAGAATCATAAAAGGAAACCATCAAAACATTCAATTTACAAATGACCAAAACTGCCATTTTCATATCTGTTGAAAACTTACAGGATAGTTCAATATGACCTTTAGCCTGTACTCCCTCAGCTTCTGAATCTGTTCAATTCAACATAAATAAGAAAAGCTCAAAAGGATGAACAATAAAACCAAGCCAGAGACAAAATACCAAGAGAAAACAAAAGAAACACCTTCACAGCCATACTAAGAATAACTCGCTATCAACAAAACAGCAAATATGCTCATCTTTTCAGGTTAACAAGTAAGTGACCAAAGAACACATGTTAGGGCATCTAACACAACTAGAGACAGAAATCCATATTGTTTGTTTGATATTTCTGAAATCACTTTTCAGTTTTTTAGTTTTTAAAAATTAAAAAACTGGTTTGTTGAAATAACTTTGAAATATTGTTCATATGTTTTAGTTTTTAAAAACTAAAAGTGGAAATTGATGACATGCCAATTTTCTATTTTTGTTGATGGTATTTCTCACCTGTTACATTGCTTCGTTCGGCTTTGAAGTCATCCTCCAACTCAGGGATTCTTCGTTACCATCTTCTTTTCTTTAAATTAGTTTTTAAATTAGAAATATCAAACAAGTCTTTATTTAACTTATTCTTAAAAACATTTATTTAAGATTGGGCACTAAATTATTTTAAAAAATAAAAAAAACTAAACTAAATTAAACAATCCGTCACAGTTCTATAACAGAGAATGTTAAGCTTCCGTTAAGCCATTTATCATGCATAGCAGATGAAAATTTTCAAGAGTACTTCCAGTTCCAACAGACAAAAAAGCACAACAAGAATGACATTATTCTAAGAACTAGGGAGACAAAACTAATAACAAAAATATTTGGAACCATGTCTTCAATGAAAGACCGATAAATTGAACAGACATCACTATCTTCACATCATGCATTGACATTCAGCAGTCAAAATCATCTGCTGACAGTCCAGCTAGAGGAAAAATGAGACAGAATTCAAATTCCTACACTCCCAATTTCCAAATAGGAAAAAAAGAAAAATACCAAACATCAGTGCAGGCCAGACCCCAACAATGCAATACTAACAAACGAGACCTTATAGATCAAGGACAGAATCAAAATGAAATTTTGATTGAAAAAACTGGAAGAGCACCCATGTAGGGCATTGATATTATTATGGTAACAGTTACACCCACCCGAATGCGGTCATTCTCAGTAAAATAGCGAAGCAGAATGTTCCTCATGTACCGAACCTCAACCTCAAATTTGTGAGGAGGCAAATACTGCTCCAGTGAGCCAAACACGTGAGCATTGAACTCCAATTGAAGGTACTCATAGTTTTCGGACTTGTGATCTCGCTTGGGGCTTATGCAGAGCCCATCGAAACTCAAATTCATCACTCTCGCTGCCACTTGTCCATCGGAGGTGGCTGTGGCTGTGGGGCACTGCGCTGGTTCTGCCACATGGTTATGTTTTCACATTTCACAATGAAAAAGGAAAACAAGGAAGAAGAGAATGGAGTCACAAATTTTTAATTTCTATATTATTAGAGGTTTATGGTTAAATTAAAAAATTATAAAAGTGAAATAGTAATCTTATAATCTACAAATTTGGTTTTATTAAGAACATCTTAAATTAAATTAAAAAAAAAAAACTAAATGAATCAAACGATATCTTTATGATATTTTTTTATGTGAATTCACACTCTATTTAAATTATAATATATAATTATATTATAAATTTGAATGTTAAATTATGAAAGATATATTGATAATAGTTACTTTAATTAACACAATAATTTGTTTTAGAGAATTTAAATTATTTGCATTTCAACATTTTTATATTGGACAAAGATTATTATAATACTTTAAGAATTTTATATAAAATATATATATTCTAGAAAATAATATTATTATTTAAATGTGAAACAATTTATCTTCAATATAATTATGAATGTACTAATGATAAAATAGAACGAGTACACGCCAAGAATAAGTTAATGTGATTAATACACGGTAAAAAAATTTATAACTTATATTTTTCAGGAGAATAATCTATATTATCAATTTGAGAAATGTTATATTGAATAAAAAAAACTAATATTGAAAAACAACAAAATTCCAATAAATCAATAGTATAAATTATATTTTAAAAAAATCATATTAGAATATACAAATAATAAAGTGTGAAATCAATTCATATATGTTTAATGCAAAAAAAAAAATAGTACAATAAAACAATATTTTCCCATTAAATTAAAGATTTGAATGAATTGGTTCTAATTTAAAGTTAATTTTCCATATTATTCAAATTAATTTAAATTTTATTAAAAAGTAGTAGATGTTAACAAATTTTTATATACAAAAATAACTGCTAAAAATTATAACAATCTCGTGCATATAATGATGCTTAGAATAAAAACAGTAGTAAAAATATATATTTTTTATGATTCAACAATGACTATAACTAAATAAAAACAACATTAGCAAAATTTAGTAGTCTCAACATAAATAAATAAGTGAGAATAATAACAAATTTAAAAATAAAAAATTATTCAATACTAATGAAAAGTAATAAAATAAAATTGCTTTTGTTTTAAATTTATTGTATTCAAATTAAACAATATATTTATATCATCATTGAAATTAATTTTTAACCAGTCAAAATATACATTAATTTTGTAATGAAATATCATTGAATAGTTTAAACTATAATTTAAAATTAATTTATATTTATTAAAATCAAACTAATTTATATTAGATGGCTACTTATATATATCAACCAAAATATACTTAAATATAGTTACTTTTATTCTTTAAGAATATTTGCATTCATATTCAAATATTTTCACATTCATACAAAGAAAAAAAAAAGAAACAAAATTGTTAGTCAATTCTATATGCTTCATCCATATTTACATATTTTACACAATAAAGCATTGTTTTTCTTGAATAGAGCAGAAATAACAATAAACTCTTTCCAATGATAACCCATTTTTGTAAGTATGCCATGAAAACAGAAACATTCTACTTCTAATCTATCTGAAACGAACAAATCTGTGTGTGAAAGAAGTTTCACAGAATAGGAGAAACTTCATAATCTTCCCCACGCATGCAGTTCCAGACACATGCTTCATCCAATTTGTATTTCAACAAATCTACCTCACAACATCAGTTGCAACAACAAGCATCCAATGCTATGATACTTCTGGTAGTTTCATAATGATCTTTAACTTATCACGGTATTTATTAATAAAATAAAATGTGTGGATTTAGTTGCAAGATTCATTTCATTTTCTAAAATGTTACTGAAATAGAATAAAATGTTGAGTTGTTTAAGTAATAAATTGTTGAATTTTTTGAGTTCATTGAAATTGATTCGTCAAGAGATGCCTAAGATCTGAGTCTCGTGGCCATGCTTCCTTTAATCTTGTGAGCATGTAGAGGCAAGACCCCAAAATTTAAAAGATTCAACTATTAAACTATAACTATTTTTCTCTTTGGTTCATGTAACCCTATGAAACACATGCCTATTACTCTCAACTTAAAGCACATTTCATTTTGTAACATATAATCCAGAGTTTAGAGACAGTAAAGAAGGTCAATGGTGAGATTCAACTATACAAGAAGATTTGCATGTGCAAGTTCAGGAGGCCGATTGCATTTCCCTCTTCATTAATTCCTGCAACGTGAAGACACGGAATTACAACAATAACAAGAAGATAAATCTTAGTTCATCCTTTAATAATCTCAAGGCTTCTTTGTTTTGTCAATCTTAGTCCATCCTTTAATAATCTCAAGGTTTCTTTGTTTTGTCAATTAGTGTTACCTGTTGGGTGACCATAACTAACAGGCGCTCTTTCTCCTTTTTCTTGCGTTTGCATTCTTCACACCAGCTAGAAAAATCTCTCCGATATTTCTTCAACTCTCTAAAAGCCGAACTGCATGACAACATGAAGATTGATGCATATGTGATTGACCAGAACTATGCTTACAATTTCCAATATAAAGTCAAAAGGGGACGTGCTTAAAAAATTTGCTGCTTCAGTCAAACAAGGGGCTATGCTGTGTGTTAATTTGCTTCTACACTAGAGAATTAAATGATGCAAATACCTTCTACACCAGAGAATTAAGTTTATCCGATTCCCAGATGTTGTAGGTCTAGCGCCATGCCGATGACGACCCGGATGAAGAATTGCATGCCCTGGAACATGGTAATAATCGAAGATCTCCTACATACATATGCTTGACGTTATTTATTGAACAAAGTAAATTTCTCTATGTGAAATTTATATACTCATAACTTATGTGATAATTTTTTGTCAATATCATGTTGTAATATTTCCATAATGCTATGAATGATATGAAATGTTATAATGTTTTCTCCATTAATGCCTATGGAAATAAATTGCTAGGTATGAGACTTAAGTCTCACACTAGAAATATGCTAGATTAAGGACAAGGAAGGGCAACCATCCAGAACACTGAAAGAGGATGCATAATCAACTGGCACGTACACCTTTTAAAGTTTAAAACAGAATTCAGATATATGCTGGAGATCAATGTACTTAAATATAAATTATTCAGCTTAAATATAATTATCCTATGAGTAAGGTAGTAAGCATACCCCTGGTTGGATATCTGAATTTACATGTTCATCACATCGAACACCCCGGAAGAACAGTTCTCCGCCAGAAAATTCTCCTCCCAAGCAAATATTTAAGGAAACTTCTGAATCGTCCACATGGAAGCCTGAAAAATATTTGCACTTTAGATTTCATCAAAAGCATATAAAGCTAATTGTTGTGAGAGAAGTAAACAGTGACAGGCAACACAGAGCAAGCAAGAACATTTACATACTAGAAAAAATATGTATGCATCAAAAGTAACCAATATAAAAAGGAAAAAGATCTAGCATAGAAATTGAATTCATGAGAGTAAAGTATCTAATAATCATGATTTGGGATGGATTAACCAGTAAGGCAACAAGAGATAATTTTATAGTAAAAGAATAGATACATTTAAATTTAACACCAAGATAAGCCAAAATTACCCATGTAATCATAGTTAGAGTGAACTTGAATTAATTGAAATCTTCATAATAAACTATAGCGAGCTTCTGTTGTTTTAGGTGGAAGATTTGAGAGGGAAATAAGGAAGGAGCGGGGGATGGGGGTGAAGTTTCATTTTATGAATTAAGAGATTTACGAAGTATTTATTGAAATGAACAAGGGTTGATTGGAATTTCATGATAAATTATCATTTTTTTTCTTTCCATTCTAAAAAACTCTTGAATTAGAGAATCTATGCATGTAATGAAAAATTTATCCTCCCAACCCTTTACCTCCTAAACCATCCTTCCCAAATTCGTTAGGGGAAAGATCAGGTACCCTACTACACATAAAAAAAGAATACAGAATGGGCATATAAGGCATTGAGGCTGAAAAATATAGAAACTGAGTATCTCAGTATTTCAAAAATCTGAAAATCTAATCCATTTTTTGCCTTTTGTCCTTTTGTTATGGTCAAGTAAAAGAATAAAAATCAGCAAGATGAAAGGTAAATGTGTATACCATAAAGAGAATGTTAAAGTATAAAACCATAAAGAGATGTGCTTGAAGCATTAAACTACATTGAGGCTAAAATATCTATTACAGAACTCAGGCAATAGCATATGCACAAAGCAGCGACGTAAATTTGAGAAACCTACCAAGTTCCACATCCCTGTTGATTCCATATTCAACAACAAACCCATGATGAGAATCCAGCGATGATCCACCAATTTCAGAGTAGAAAACTAAATAAAAATAAAAATTGCAAAGTTAGTCCACATCAGTAATTGTAGCTTCTTCATCTCAATAATAATTTTGTAATTCATTTTCATTAGGAAAATAAAAAATAACCTCGAGACAGAGGACGTATGAAATCATTCATCAATCTGTCAAGCATGGCTTCCAGGCCAAAATCATCAAGAACGGCACCATATTGATTCATTATATTAGGTCGCATGATTCTGAATTTGGTAGCATGAACCCATCTTTCAAAATGATCCACCTAAACAATCAGAACTTGATAAGAACATACACTGATATAGAACTGACAAAGTGATATATGCATGAAAAGCAAAGTAAAGAAATGTGATACCTCGGCTACTAGCATCTCACAAAATCGTGGTTGAAGCATTTCAAATGTATAAATTCCTTTACAAGGTTCTGCCATAATACTTCTAAAACTCTCTTCTGTATTTTCTTTAATCGCTCTGAGAAATGATGGTGTGAAAAATTTCTCAGCATCCATACTATATATCTCCTTGTGCAGTGGCTACAAACAAAAGTGAATAATCGGTAAGATTGAGCACGAGTGGAAGTTACAGAAAGGAGAGAGGATTACTGTTCTTGTTTCAAAAAATTCAAATGTTAACATGTGCTTATTCACTGGCATTTCAGGTATCTGTGGTTGTGATTGAGATTCATGTCCACAAGGGTCCAAGTTCAAGTGTGGTTAGCAACAAGAACATGTGCTGTTTCCAGTAGATAATAAGTACCAAGTAAAATATGTCACGCTAACTCTAAGAAAATTATCCCATCAACAGCATCTCCTACAATCTCCAAGTGAATCATAAAATGAAACCATCTAAATTTTCAATTTACAAAAGAATAAAACTGCCAGTTTGACATTCAATAGAAAACTTACTGGATAGTTCAACATGATCTTTTGCCTGTACTCCTTGTGCTTTTGAATCTATTCAATCCAACATGGAGTAGCAAAGTCAAAAACTCAAAAGAGTGAAAACGAAACCAAGCAAAAAAAATAATATCAGGAAAAACGAAACTAAAAACTTCTCCACTATCATACTAAGACTTGAGCCCATTCATCATCACCTTTTTAAATTAACAAGTAACTTTTTAGAAATGGTAATCAATTAACACATGTTAATACATTTTCTAAGACAAGTGCAGACAGAAATCCCTATCATATTACTTCTATACTCGATTATAATAAGCTTTCATAAAACCCGCTAAAATACATGGCAGATGTATCATTTTCAAGATAGGAAGAAGCAAGTACATCCAACAGACAAAAGAGCGCCCCAGTGAAAAATAAATTGGCATTTTCTAAGAACTAAGAAGACAAGACTAATAACATAAATGAATAGGAACCATATCTTCCATGAAAGACCAACTTGTTAATTAAACAAACATCACCATCGTCACAAAATGCACCCCCATTCAGAAATCAAAATATAGAATCATCCAAATTGTGTGCTGCCACATAAAATGTAACACAATTCAAATTTCTACTATTCCCAATTTCCATCAAAATTTTCCCAAACAAATCAACAATGCAAAAAAGGAAGCAACAAGATTACCACAAAGGAAACGATACCCTATTGATCAAGGGCAACATCAGAACAAAATTTTAATTCAAGAAACGAAAAAATTCATCGCTTTCCAAACTCCAACACCAATCTGGGCCCTTCAGCCCACCATTATTTTTCAAACACAACGAAGTCAACAAAAATTGAAAGTGCAGAAGTCCAAAATTACAGTGACACCCACCCGAATGCGCTCACTCTCGGGCAAATAGCGAAGCAAAATGTTCCTCATGTACTGAACCTTAACCTCGCGTGAGAGGTGGAGCATATGGGGAGGCAAATACTGTTCCAGAGAGCTAAAGACAAGAGGGTTGAACTCCAATTGAAGGTCTTCATAGTTTTCAGACTTGTGATCTCGCTTGGGGTTTATGCAGAGGCTGTCTGAACCTCCCACTCCCACGTATACATTGGAAGGACGAGGTTGTTGTGGGACACTCCGCTCAAAAGAAACATTCTTGTTCTGAGACATGACAGTTTTTAAGAGAGGAAGAGAATGAAAGAAGGGGAAGAAGAAAAATCAGAAGATGTTGAAGAGGGTTGAGTTCAGGGTGGTGTGCTCACTACCCTTCAATTCATCATGTCTCTCTGGTTTTGGCGTGTTTCTGAGCTCTAGTGTTTTTTCTATGACGTTATAAGACTAAATATTAGATGTCTTTTTGCAATAATCTTTGCATTTTTTACAGGCTTTACTACTTTTTTTTCATTAACTTTTTTTGTATTTTTGTTTTTAGTCACTGTTCAACAACAAAATTCAATGTGTTTCTTTTTTTACTATTATTTGAAATTTTATTCTAACATCTTTTATCATATCATGTGAAACCTTGGTTGATGAGTGATTAAATTATCACAATTTGCTTAAAAATTTGGATCTACTCCTTTTTAAGGTGTGAAATTACACACTAAATTATTTTTAACAAAGTTACTTACTTTAATTGAAGTTATGAAAACATTGTTTAATCAATTTTATTATTGCAGGAAATGACATAAAATTACCCATATAAGAATATTATTTTAAATTATAAAAATTAATACAAAGTTATTTGAAATATTTATATTAAATTAATTATAAGATTTGTAAAATTAGGTTAAATACTAAATTTAACAACCTTAAATAGAAAACCCACAACACCATAGACTTATTAAAATAATATAACTATTACAAATTTTATGAATTTAAAACAAGTAATTTTTTTATATTTCTATATACTTAACAAAAAAAACAGTTTTTTTTCTCACTCTACAGTATTTACGTTTGACTAAAACACTAGTTTCACATGTGTAATTATATATATAATGTATATTTAATCTGATTTTTAAAATAATAGTTTTTAGTAAAAAAAAAAGAAACATAAGATACGTTGAAAAAGACCTGACTTATATTATATTGGCTTGCCTTTTAAATTAATTTTAAATTTTAAGAATATATATTTAAATTAAAATAATATTTTTTTTATTTTCAATATAAAACGTGATTCTATCTATAACTAAACTTATGACATTTTATTCCTTACTAAAATAACCCAATTAATTAAATTTTCAATTATTTAATTAAAGAACAATAATTATTATAACTAATATAAATCATGAAAATTTTAGTCACTTTTTAAACAAATAACCAAATTCATTCCCTTGACACCCCTACATAAATGCCAAATACTTATTATTAATAATAAAATTCATTACATTTTTTAAAATATCCAAAAATAATTATATGTTTTTTATTTATTTTCTATTAAACACTTCATTAACTAAAAGTATGATTTATGTAAAAAATTAAAATTTGTTTCCATTTTGTTTATTTTTAAAAATTTTCACATAATTCACTGTAAGGTAATTTTCCACACATATTAAAATAATAATAAATATTTTTTTATTTTTAAACTAAAATAACCTTATTCTTTCAATAAAGGTATTACTTTAACTGGCATATATAGAATAACTACCATGATGACATCAAAGAAGTATAAATAAAAAAAATAAATATTTTATCTTATCATATAAAATATTAGTTATGAGTTAAGGGTTCTAACTCATTTAATTGATATGGTAGAAGAGTTACTTGTAAATTCGTCCATACTAGTTCAATTTTTCGAATAAAAAAATATACTAATTATGAGTATTATTTTATTGAATTTGCAATTGAGATTTTATTGAATATAGTTTTACACAAACTAATGATTTGATGGGTTTAAATTTTAATTTGTGAATGCAACTTTCAACAATATATTTATTTGTAAATATTGTTTCACTAATTATATTATTATTTATATTTATTTAACGTTTTTATCTTTGTAAACTAAAAATATTTATTTGTAATTTAAATTTGAACATTCTTAAAAATATAACACATTAAATATTTTGATATTTCAATATCATTGTAAATTTAAAATTAACGTCGATTATAATATTTTAATTTTTTTTAATTCAATATATTTTTTATTATGACGACTAGACTTAAAAAAAAGTTTTAGTAATTTTAGTTTGTGGTTCTTTAATTTGAGGGGTATGAGATAAATTAATTTATTGATTTTTTAAATAATATTTATATATTAAAATTAAAATATTATAATTTAAAATATTTTATATTTTTTTATATTATTAAAATATTTTAATATATTATAATATTATAATTTAAATTATAAAATTTAATTAATTAAATTTAAATTATTAATTATAACTAATTATTTTAATTTATAAATATAATACAAATTTTAATTTATTTAATAAAAATTATTAATTAATAAATAAAAATTTAAAAAATTACTTATATATTTAAATACATATTTTAAAAAATATATATGTAAAAATCTTTATATAAAAAAATATTAACTGATTAACAGTCTGCCCTTTAAAAAAAAGATAGATCGAAGTTTGTAATCCATTCTATTATAATGTACGAGTAGCTCACTGATCCTAATTTTTATATGAGTAAATAAAATATTTCTATTAGGTAAGTGTTTGTGTTTGGAAAATATAAATCGAAAAAAGAAACGAGAGAGTGGGTTGTTGGAATTACCGCTGGAGAACTGTCTCACATCACCTACCGCGGAGTAGCCAAGAAAACCAAATCACTTCAGCTTTCCTTTTGCATCTCTTCTCTGCACTATTTAACCTTCAAATCACAACGCAACACAAACCTTCACTCTCCTTTGCATCAATCTCTTCACTCTCAACTTCCATGGCCATGGCTTCTGCAAAACTTAATACTTTGTCTTCGCATTGGATCGCCCACACCACCTTCTCTCCTCGCAGTCGATCCTCTCCTCGCCGTGTCTCTCTCCCGATCCGCGCCTCTTACGAAAATGAACTCGTCCAAACCGCCGTTAGTATCAATACTCTATTTTATCCTCTTCTTTCTTGCCCTTTATCAATTCACTTGATTTCCATCGTTGTTCTGCTTTAAAGGTTTTAACTTTGCTGTTTTGTGCATGTTTTGCTGCCTTTGGCCTTGCTTGGTTGTTTGTTTTACATTAATTTGATTCATAATTTACTGTAGAATGAAATCTCTCCTTGGGTTTGACTCTTTAGTATTACTTTAGTACCTGGAAGATACTAGCACATCTTGTTTTTCTGTGTCGATTTTGGATTCTAGTTTAGATATAAAAGCAACTTTTTTTTGGAACTTGATCATCTTAAGTTTTCTTTTTTTCTACTGAACATGATCCAATCCCATAGGTGACAATGAATTCCCTCTGGTGACATTATCACACAATCGGGACTTAACCCTTCAAGTGAATTTTGTTAATATACCCATATTTCTTTAATAAACAGATCATGACACTGAATCATCTCAATTCTTTTTATTGAAGATGATTCGTTTTCATGGATAGGTAGACAGATGCATATTTCCTTTGGCTAGTTATTGGTTTCTTTCTTGGTTGGTGACTTCCTTTTTGTTTGTTGATTGTATAGAAATCTATTGCAACTCCTGGGCGTGGAATTCTTGCAATTGATGAATCAAATGCAACATGTGGGAAGCGTTTAGCATCCATTGGTTTGGACAATACTGAGGTGAATCGCCAGGCCTACAGGCAACTTCTGCTCACCACACCTGGCCTTGGTGAGTATATTTCTGGTGCCATTCTTTTTGAAGAAACCCTTTACCAGTCAACCACTGATGGAAAAAAATTCGTGGACTGCCTCCGTGATGAGAACATTGTTCCTGGCATCAAAGTTGATAAGGTTTGTTATTTGAGTTTGTCAATGGTGTTATGTCTTACTGATTAGATTTAGAAGCTGGCTCGGTTTCTATAACTTTAGTGTTGCTATTTTTAGGGTCTGGTCCCCCTGCCGGGGTCAAACAATGAATCATGGTGCCAAGGGTTAGATGGATTGGCTTCTAGATCTGCTGAATACTACAAGCAAGGTGCTCGATTTGCCAAGTGGTAAGTCATTCTTTCTTTGTGAAACCTTCTTGTTTGGATGCATTGGGGTTGATTTTAAAATTGGTTTGATCTACAGGAGGACAGTTGTTAGTATTCCATGTGGTCCTTCTGCATTAGCTGTTAAGGAAGCAGCGTGGGGACTTGCACGTTATGCAGCTATCTCTCAGGTATCCTTTGGTCTCGTTCACCGTACCCATCTGATAATAGTTGTTCTTTCATTTGAAGCGAGTGAACTTTGGTTGTGGGTTTAGTTTGGTCTATGACAGTTTTTATGCACATGCTAACTCTTCAACTGCATAGGGTGTCAAAGTTGATTGAATTTAACCCTGTAATTTTTGTTATGCTTTTAACTTTTGTTACTTGATGTTGGTGTACACAACTCTTTCTTACTGTTTATCTCAAGAAAGGTTTTTCCCTCACAATGTACTCATCCCGTGGCTACACTTGAATTCCATTGCAGGACAATGGTCTTGTGCCAATCGTAGAGCCTGAAATTCTTCTTGACGGAGATCACCCAATTGAGAGGACATTGGAAGTGGCCGAGAAAGTCTGGTCAGAAGTCTTCTTCTATTTGGCTGAAAACAATGTCATTTTTGAGGGAATTTTGCTCAAACCTAGCATGGTTACACCTGGGGCTGAACACAAGGAGAAGGCTTCTCCGGAAACCATTGCCAAATATACTCTGACCATGCTTAGAAGAAGAGTTCCTCCTGCAGTCCCTGGAATCATGGTACAGTAACCGGTCCTTTGTATATTCTTGCACTTAATTTAGAAATTGAAATTTAGAACTACTAAATCAAACAGTAAAAATGTTCTGTCTGTTTCCTCAGTTTTTGTCTGGTGGACAATCTGAAGTGGAAGCCACACTAAATCTTAATGCAATGAACCAAAGCCCCAACCCTTGGCATGTTTCTTTCTCGTATGCACGAGCTCTTCAGAACACCGTGCTTAAGACATGGCAAGGACACCCTGAGAATGTGGAAGCTGCTCAAAAGTCTCTTTTGGTGCGCGCTAAAGCAAATTCCTTGGCTCAACTTGGAAGATATTCTGCGGAGGGTGAGAGTGAAGAGGCAAAGAAGGGAATGTTTGTCAAGGGATATACCTACTAAAAGTTTAGGTGTCTTTGGCCTTCAGTTGTTTGTTTGTTATTAATCATTCCTTAGCAGTGAACGTGAAGGGGGACGTAGATGTGTTTTAGTTTTTCTTTTTTTCCAACTTCTAGCAAATGAGTTTGAATAAATTGAAGCTAGAAAGAGAGGTTTTCTTGGTAAAATGGAGGTTGGGTATCAGTAAAAACCCAAATGGGGGAAAAATACCGAAGAAAGCAAGTTTATTACTTAGTGTTTATTTGCCTGTTCACAGATTTTGCTCTTGGCAGTCCAGTATGTGATTGGAGACTTAATGTTGGCATATTTAATCAGCATATGGTCTGTGTGCCATAATTATTAAGTATTGAAAAATGATAATAATATGCCATGACTTTTTCTTATTTAGTTGTTTTTTTGCCGATGAGCGATATGCAGTTAATTAACATTGCTTCTGCACATGCCCGGTATTCAAAATTCCTTGAGTTGGGGCTTGTGTTTTGAAGTTTTCTACTTTGAAATCTGGGGAGATTACATTATGCATGTATATGTCGACTAGTTTTAGTAAGAAAAGAGCTTTTATGGTTCAAATAAAATTTTAACTATAAGCTGCTTGAACATAAATATAAACTATAAAATTTTGAATATATTTTTTGCATGGCTCATTTTTCTTTTAGAATTAAGCTGGAGAGGTTTTGTCCAAACAAACCCTTCCTTTTTTTTCTCGGATATGCAACATTATCAGAAATATTTGTGAGAAAACGAAACTTCTATACTGAACAAACAGAAGAGCTAACAAAAGGAAATAAAAAACACGCTTTCGCTCCATTTTAGCAGAGAAATTTTAACAGAGAAAAAAAAAAAAGAGCCTGTGTAGTTAGAGAGAAAAGAGTCAGGTTTTTAATGAGGGGATGAAAAATTTAGTTGGTAATCCTTATGGATATTAATAAAAGAGAAAAGGAAAATAAAATACGAACGTGACTTGGTCCAAACATTCTAATTTTTATATAAAAAATTCTCATCCAAAACCCTATCAATAGAAAACAAATAAAAGTTTATTCTCTTTCTTTTTAACTTTATACAAATGAAAAATTATACTACCTGCATCCCAGTTTACCTGCAGTCTAAGATTTCGACACAAATTAAAAAATAATAATAAATACATTAAATAATGAGGCAACAATGAACGTAAAAAATTCCAACTTGTATTTGTCACACCCAAATTTATTGATGTTGAACAATCGTTTCAGTTTCCTATTTGTTTGACCTGCAATTTGTCCAACACCTGTTTCTTTCAAATTTTCACCGTTTTGCTCTCGGACCAAGAACAAAGGGCCCAAAATAAGGTTAATTTGGAGTCATTATTGACATTGACAGTAAAAGTCGGGATCTGGTCCCGGCTTTGGAATTATTATTAATTGAATTCCATTTCTATTAATAACAGAGTGAAAGCAGAAACTGAAATGGAATGTGGTTCAACATATTAGGATTTAATGATGTCAAAATTGATGATAATTACTGTACAAAGAATTAATGGGTCAAGATACTGGAATTCGAGTGTGACATCATTTCCCGTTGAATGTGCACAACCCTAGCGCAGCTGCACCCCCAACCCAAACCCAAACCCAAACCCATTTAATGAATGCTATGTACTAATCCCTCCTATTGTATGACCCTGCCACTAACCGTCTATTTTCTTGCTGATGATGCATAGAAGCATCAAATTGGAAAAGTATTCTCAAGCCTTGATTGACAGTTACTTGCTTCATACTCACGGATGATGATCATTTATTTTGCTCAATCAAAAATGAGTACCTTTTAACTTCAAATTCAATCAGGTTGATGTTGGATATGGGCTTGGCTGGTTTCATGAACAAATTGACTCAATGATAATGCCCCCTCAAACCACATGCACCTCTTCTAGAGGAGAGTAGGAACCAGATATACATCCTTCGCCTCGGTCTCCTTTTACCATTGCATTGAGCATATTAGTTTGACCGCTCAATTGTGATCCTTCTTACTTTTCTTAAGTAACTTCGACACGTGATCGATATACTCCCTGCCTGTTTGCTTTCCACCCATCAGCCACTGCAGTGCCTCTGCTGCAGCATCCTTTTCTGCACTCTTTTTATTGTTACAAGGTTGACCTATTACCTGCATTCCACTGAATTCAACTGTAGCCTGAAACTGACTGTCCTTCAATTGTTTAGTCTTGTAGACGGGTGCCGCATATCCTGCTCTTGTAAGCAAGGTTTGGAGCTGACTTTTAGAATTATCTCCCCCAGGTCCACTCTCAGTCCTTGAAACCAAGGTTGGATGTGAGGCCATCATAACAGATTTCTTTGATGATTTAAGGACCTGGCGACCAAATACAAATCGACCTTCACATTTGTCACCTGAAATTAGCAGCCGTACTGCAGATAGGAGATCATGATACCACTGTATGCCCATTCTGGGAAAAAGTAGCTGTCAAATATAAAGTGTAAATTAGAAGTTAACCGTCATGTCATCAATTCAGATTGCCAAGAGAAAAAAACACTAAAGCAGAATGCTAGAACTATTTGCATCGGGAAGGTAGTAGGAACATGAAATTAATTTGCACCTACTTTGCACTGAATGAAGGCATCAAGTTCTCTCCTAATACTCTGATACATTTCTGCAACACTGGGATCCATAAAAAACTCAAGATATCCTCCCAACATTTTCAAGTGATTATCCTGAAAGAAAAGGGTTATATTCCAGTAAAACATCAGACAACTAAAACTGAGACAGCAATTTGAAACTCTAAACATTTTATACAATATATATATATATAATAAACACAAGAACCAATAACAAACCACATCACACTTACAGCATCTCCTTTCAATAAGCTTCCACCAAATAGAAGAACCACTGAATCAGACACTGCTGTTGAATCACGGAGAAAAACTGAGTTCACTTTTATCTTCTCGTTGAAAACTAGCCATGGATATGGAATTTTAGTTTCCCGAGCATTCACTGAGTTCTACGCAAATGAAATGGACATTAAATTAAAAAGGAAAGCAAAATCAAAAGGCAACACAAAATCTTAATAGAATTATTTTAAATGCTTCAAAGCCAGCAGCAAATCATAAAGGTTTGAAAGGACTAACCGAATATAGGAGCACTTGACCATCCTCCATTGTTTTCAAAGAGAATGATTTCTCGTTATTCTGTAATGAAATTACATCTCATTTATACTCTCGAAACATAATATATACTAATATACAAAAGTTAAGGATGGGCATCTATCTATCAATATGAGAATTTGATGAGCAAAAGTTCAAATTTTAAATAACGGCATGTTTTTTTTTTAATATAACCGAGTCAAATATAAGAAGCTGTCATTGTGTATTGACTAAAGAGAACACAAACTAATTTTAAGTTAAATTATACTTGATTATTTCTCTTTATACATAATTAAGAAAGAAAATTAAGATCTACAAATGCAGGACAATATTTTCTTTACAAAAAACTATTCTAGAGTAATGCTAGAATCAACAATTAACTCACAAAAAACAAAATTAAGCTGACCAACTCATTAGATAATTAATTGCCCCTTAAATCATGAACTTTAGAGCTTAGTTGCGATTTATTTTTGTGAGTATCGTTGTCTATTGATCCAGAAAGAACAAAAATCAGATTATCGAGTAAAAGACACATAAGGGAAACATGTGACTAGTAAACGTGTTAAAATGACATGTAATGTTAAAGAAAAAAGAGGCAAGCTCAGTCTACCGTTGATTAGTGGGGAAAAGCTTCTATATTAGTATATTATGTTTGTCATGGAAAAGGACATACCACAACAGAACCAATTCCAGGATATAGACCATAGAAAATAACTGCTCGGATAAGATTTACATCGGAGACCCATGCATTGCAGCTAGCTGCGCTGCTGTCAACTAATCCAGTATCCTTGAGCAGACATATGAACTCTCTCCGAAGAGCATCAATAGCTTTCATGGATTGCCAGGAAAGAAAATTTTTCCAGCAGTATTCATATCCACCCAGGTCCATTTCAGCATCTTTCCAGCCTTCATATGCCCTTACAAGTGCAAGGTGGTCACTGTATGCACCACAGAATTGAGATTTTGCTGCCTCTGCAAGCTACAATGAAGAATTTTGAACTGTCAAATAATGACATTCAGTTCAAGACAAGACATCACCCAACAAGTTGGAATATAAATGGGCCATTGCAAATACTGCTGCATGAAAGTGACCATATCCATTAAAGACTTCAAATATGTCTAATTAAATGAAATAGTGCGTATCCTTAATAGCTCTTACATTCATAAAAAATGTCAAAAACATTGCATGATATAACTTTGGCAACGAACCCAATGTAGAAGATTATTTATTTATTTTTAAAAAAGGGCACAATTAAAAGTTCCTTTCATGCAGTACTTGGAGAATTTCATGTTGGTAACACACAGTAGGAAGTGGGACCCCACATAATTTAAATGTGCCCACAAAAATTTCACCCAATAATAGTATGTTTCTGGGGACCATCAGATAGAAAAAGCCAAGCAGAAGAAAGGAAAGTAAGAATTGATTAAGATACACAAGGCTGCTTACAAACATATGGACAGAGAGAGAGGAAGCTCAGAAAAATTAATTGGTAAGCTAGTGGAGTTAGAAGACTATCAGATAAGAAAGATATGAAAAAATATACTTTTAGCCCTTCTACTTTTGATCAAAATTTGGTCAAAGACCATGTATTTTCGTATTGAAGAATTTGGTCTTCAAACTTCGAAAAATATGTTGATTTACTCTTCAAACTTTGCAAAATATGTTGATTTACTCTCCAAACTTTGAAAAACTGATGAATTTTTAGAGTGAGGGACTAAATGCACGCATGTTTTTGTTTGGGGACCATAATATTAGATAGGAAAGTAAACTTAACCACGTTTAACAAAAAATACAGGAATTAAAAATACATCCCCTCAAAAGACCTTAGATAGAAAACAAGTTACAAGTATCACAAACTGACTATATAGTTAATTGCCACGCTAAAGCAGAAATAAATTATTGTAGGAGTGATGTGACCTGTCTTATTCTTCTAAACATTTAACACATAACACGAACTGAACCAAATTTTACCAAAGAGGACAGGGTACGCTACAGAGAAGAAAACAAAATAAGTATGAAACAAATATAAGATAGGCTTAATTTTATTTTTTTTCCTTTTACAGGTAAGAGGCAAAATCTATAACACATTTAGGTTTACAAACACATTATTATTTGTCATAGATTTTTTCATATGCACACTACTTTTCCCACTACCATTTTTTCTGAATGTAATCAACAAAAAGAGAGGCCCAATTTAAATAAATTCAATTGCAATTAGTGTCAAAGCAACAAAAATATAAAGATAGGAATAAAATGTATAGTTATGCCATATGTTCATGCCAATAAGGAACACAAGTTCAGAACACTCATACAATTAAATTTTAAGAGATTTATAATAAAAACAAATTAGCATTTCAATCATCAATCAATCTTCTAAAACAGAAACAACTTACATCCTTTTTATCCAATGGTGTTAGAAAAGGATCTCGCACGCTAAGCCCAGCAACAACAGTTAATATAGGATCCAGGCAATTGAAAATAGCACCTAATATTAGCATCTTGCCGAGTTTGGGCTCCATAGGAAGCATTGTCAGATAGCGCCCTGTCAATTGAAGGACCAAGTATAAGTTTTCATCATTTCAAGGGGAGGAAATAAGCCAAATTTTCTATTACTAGAAAGGTATCAACCAACCTAGAATAGTGAGATTCTCATCTTTATCCAAAGCTCCAATTATTTTTAAATACTCAATTGCATTTTGTACCTACGAATAAAATGATTAAAAAACTGACTGGTACAAATTTATATATAAGTAAACAACGCAAAAAAATGAATGAATGAATTTATTAAAGAAAAGTACATGAATTGATGGATTCTGAAGAATAAATTTATAATTACCGCAAGTATCTCAGGAGACTGCAATGCCCTGGACAAGAACTCAGATATACTTCCAAGTCGTAGACTTTTAATTTGTAAACAGAGAGATTGCAAAGGTGTTCTCAAAATTTCTGGCAACTGATACTCTGCAAAAGCATCATACACACATCTAGGGTAGAGATGGTAACACTCTCCTGGTTGTACCCGACCAGCTCTTCCTCTTCTCTATAAAAATATGAGTCAGGAGAAAATTCAATGTTTAGGGTCCAAGTTTTTCATTCATGATTAATAATTAAGGCATAATTCACTGGTAGTTAACTATATAACGACTTTGGAGATATACTGCAATTTTCCATTATAATCCTGAGGTTTAATTGATTTTCATCCTTAATCTTTGGAAAATGGCACATAACCTGGCCTTTCAACACAATGGAAATTTCCAGATAAGGCTGTTATAATTGTCAGCAGCAAATGCATTCATTCACTTAAATGACAAATGCACTCTTTCCGAAAGTTTGTGTGAAATATCTTGCAAAGTCTGATCAGACATTATCCTTGATATCCTTCAAATAGGCTGTGGTGAAATTGCCACAAGTTTGTAATTCAATAATGCCCCAAGGATTATGGTACCAAATCCAAGAGAATAAAATGCCAATTCAAAATTGAATAACTTCATTTGTATTTTATACAAGGCAATAAAATCATATCCCCCAGCAAGTTCAACAGCTAACCCTTAGTCTACCATAAAAAGTGCAGAGTTGTGATCATAGAATAATTCACATTCCAGTCCAGATTATTGATAATATAGCAACATTTATGGTTTCAATAGTCCAGTATTCAAGCTTTAAAAAAAAGTGTATATATTAAGGATAGATATGACAGAATAAAAGATTATATTTAGTAATACCAAACATATTATAGTGATGACATATTACACTCACACAATCAACTAAGTATATAACTTACTTGTTGAGCAGAAACCTTAGAGATCCATGTAGGAAGCAGACAAGGCGTGTTATTCAGGGCATCATATGATGTTTCTTTTGCTTTTCCGCAGTCAAGAACAAAAACAACATCATTTATTGTGATACTGGTTTCAGCAATATTTGTTGTTAACACTATTTTTCTTACTCCATCTTCAGGCTCTTCAAATATTAACCTCTGCATATTGACATATTCGTCATGTATATCTAGAAATCAATCACAAGTGCAGGAGAGATAAGGCAAAAACAACCTTTCTTTGACACAAGGCTATGCAGAAACATAGTGTTAAGACTGTTTTCAGACAACAATCAACTCTATAGTTGTTAAGGGACAGAACATTACCTGTTCTGAACTAGCCATTGAGCCATGACATGTAAGCAACAAAACACAGTTTGGATCTCCCAAGACAGTATGTGTCAGGAGCTTTTCTTTCAGAGAGCTTATATCATCCCATCCAGTCATGAAAACCAAAACAGCACCAGGCCTTTCATTCTCACATATATTGCATAAAATATATTCTATGAGACTAAAACCAATACAGTCAGGATTCCAACATGACAAAGACTCCTGTGTACGTGGACTGTAACCTTTGAAATCAGCAGCTCTAATTGCATCCTGGTCATACATTTTCCAAAATGCACTAAAATTAAGAAATATTAAACAGGTAAGCAACTGCAGTTCTGAATTTCTTAAATACCTCTACCACGGAAGCAATTTGACTTTTCCTCTTTCTTGGGGCCTGTCTATTCATTTTCCACATCCTTTCTTGACCATAATCATCAATTTGATTATAAGGAGTTAATCTGTAGCCCGTCTTTTCAAGAATGTTCTCCAAAAAATGAGTTCTAACAGGGTATGTGAAGCCCTACATTAATAAGCATATCCATCCAAACAATAAGAAAAGGGGAAGTCTGTAGTTCTAGGCACCAAAAATACTATTCTATACTAAAAAAATAGAACGTTTACTCCAAAGAAAAGGGGAATTTCTCAAAACAAAAATATAAACTAAATGGCAACATGAATTCTTGAGTAATTCTATTCTCACCTACAATGATACTTTACCTAGTTTGCACACCCATTTACTCCCTTAATACTTTGAAATTATTTTATTTTATTATATCTTTGTACTCAGCTTCATGACACATTCATCATAAGACACTACAATCTCCCATAACAACACAAAGAATAACACTTTGTTTCATCACGCACCGGAATAAACATAGTCGGAGCCCCATTGAAGTACGAAGAAAAGTGCTCTGCATCCAGGGTAGCACTCATCAAAATCAGTTTCAGTTCTGGCCGATATGGAAGGAGTTCTTTAAGGATAATAAGCAGAAAATCTGTCACAAAAAATTAAAGTATATAAATATTTAGAAACATTCTAAAAGAAAAAGATTTAATGAAGCTCAGAACTCTACCTTCATTCATCCCTCGCTCATGAATTTCATCCACAATAACATGAGTTACACCTTTTAACTTTCTATCAGCTAGTAATCTTCTTAACAAAATGCCTGTGGTGCAAAAGAGAAGATGGGTATCTCTCCCTTTCATACCTTCAAGTCGAACTTTATATCCAACCTTTCAAGGAAAGAGTGAGTGAGAGAGAGAGAGAGAGAGAGAGAGAGAGAGAGAGAGAGAGAGAGAGCAACCAATAAATAGGGAGAAATACTGAAATTCTAAGAAAACAGAACAGTAATGGCTTGGGATAGTATATTAAGAATAATTGTCTATGGCAGATAAACTCACAGATTCACCCAATTTCTCCCCCCTCTCACAGGCCACTCTTTCAGAAACTGACATGGCTGAAATGCGTCTTGGCTGTGTGCATATGATATTACAAGCAGCTCCACGAACTGATTCTATCTCAGATTCTAAAATAAATTGTGGAATTTGTGTTGTCTTGCCACAACCTGTTTCGCCTGAAATGATAACTACCTAAAAAATATGCCATTTAATAACAGAAATCAAATTATAGATATCAAGTTTTAAGAGGATTATAATTAAGACTATGAAGTATGTTTAAATCATATATTTACTAGAAATCAACCTTATATTTGAATGAAAGTAAAGGATAACCTAGAACTTAACCGTGCATACTACATTTGGTATTGATTGTTATAAAAGCTTTACTGTAATAACACCAATTGCAGCTTTACTGTAATACATCAAACTATTATAAAAATTATATAAACCAAAGCAAGTAACATACCAAGCTTTTTCTGATTATTGATTAGGGCTTGGCATTCTAGCCACCACAAACCAGAATACTTCTCATTCATAGATATCTCTGCTAAACTAACCAACCATATGATACTTGATGATCGTCAAATACCAATTGTCTATTTTCTGATAAAATAATAAATCCTATACATTAATTTTTTTATCATCATATATTTTCATATCAATGTCAAGTGCTGACCCCCTTTTTAAGGGATGATCACTGCTGCTGCTTGCATTGAAATTCAACCAAACCACCAGCATAACCTTTATACTTTCACCTGATACTCTTGGTTTAAAATTTTTAGAACAAAAAGATTCAACAAAGTATTTACTGCGGTTCTGAATTTCACAATAAAATTTCCAGCTTTACATAACACCACTGGATTAATTTTCTGAATAACATACCATCCTCAGGACATCAGCCACTCAAAACTGGCTAACAGGAATTGAATTGACTTGCGACATTATTTAGAGACAATTACAAATGTTATAAAATTAAAATTTAATGATATACAACACAACCTGTAATACAATTAATAAGTCAATAGGTTTATTCCACAACAATATTGCTAATGATACAACTATTCAACATACCTGATTCCTTGATATGACTGATAAGATTGCTTCTTTCTTTTTATAAGCTGGGAGACTTCTACGAAATTCTAGCATTCTACTTCCTTCAGGAGATTCCTGAAATGAGAAGGCAAGATGTGAAGAACATTCCAGCCAACTTTTTTTTGCCTCAATGGTTTCAAAATCTCATTGGATATATTTCAATATATTGAAACAATATTCAGGGAAAACAATCACACATATCAGTAAGAACTTAAACAGATTATGCAGACAGACTGTCATCACCACCTAGAAGAACCAGTGGATTTTTTTCTTTTCAACTAATTACAATAAAGTTAGGCATGACTATATACTAACAATAAGTATTAGATTGATCTATAACCATTAGTCAATGGAGGGAAGACATCAACCCAAACTGTGACCATGGAAAACCTATGTTGCACAGATATGGGTATTGCGTACTTTACGGTAAATGTATAGATAATTGCAATTGGGCCTCAGATGTAGGCCTGTGAGTGTGTTACTTTTGAGGCCTTCCTAGGTTCACAGATCTATCACATACTTGTAGTCCTGCACCAGGTATGTACCAGATGTGTACACCAAGCAAAATGGAGTAATCATGGTCCAAAGATATAAACTTGTTCCACCTATCATCTTTCACATGTAACCAGTAGAAATTGAAGCTACAAATGTACTATTACAGATAAGCATATTACTTTATTAGGATTTTCTAATAATTTAGGCTTTCTATTGAAAATAAGATTTTCATTATGTTATGGTTTTCTGTCCACATTGCATTAATACTCGTTACAGAGTATTTGGAGTCACGTTAACCCAAATTGAAGCTGAGGCCACAATATGTTGCTCAGGTGGACATATGTTTATTGTCATGTGGATGAAATTCCAAAGTATTTGCAATTTGAAATCCCGAATTAGAAGAGGTTTCAGCAGTTTTTGAGATTTATAAAAATAAATAAATAAACTAATTTTAGCTATATGTTAGGGACAAGGACAATAGTTTAAATTTGTAAATCACTTTTTTTTTTCTGAAAAAATAAACTGCTTTTATTAATCCAAAAACTTTTAGTTTATAACTATTTTCCAACAGTTTTCAGTTTTGCCCCACTCCTGCCAGTTTTTAAACATCGTCATAGCATTAACATCATAGTTTCTACCTACTAGGTCTTTTAAGAGAAATAGTAACTCACTTGCTTCATGACTATTCTATCTTTTTTACAAGACTTACCAGCATGCCCTGACAACCATATGATATCATTCCCACCCATCACAATTTCCCTTTTGAATTAAGAAATACATTACATAATTACAATTAATTTATTCATCGACTCTTCTATACAAAAATTTGGCAAATCTATGCCCTTGCTTAAATCTCAGTGCCATCAATTTAGCTCATAATCATGTCCTTCATGCAAGAAAAAAAGCATACGGAGCTTGATGTTTTCTTGAGAGAACGTTGTTACTAAGCAGTTAGTGGTCCAACATCTGGTAAAGATTAGTGGGCAGATCTTCTTACTAAACATTTATCTTCTACTAGGTTTTTTTTACTTCAGGCCAAATTCAATGTGATTGATCTTCTACAGTTTCTTAGCCTCCTAGAGTTTGCCAGCGTGTGACCGTAACTCCCACTTTGTAATCAAATAGTTATTTATAGTTTTTTGTAGATTTGTAGGCTACAGGTTGTTGTTATATCTGGCTTTGCTCTTTGTTGTTAGTGACAGTTAGTGTAACTGCTTTGGTTAGAAAGTTAAAAACTGACTTGGAACTGAACTCTATTATAAATAGAGATCTTTGTAAACAGTTTGGTGAGTTCAATATTCATTCAATTCAGAATAAACTACAAATGCACATAAAATTATCAGAGAACAGGAAAACATGCCACTATTTTCTATTTGTGAGAAGGTAACCTGCCAAACTTGCTGCTGATCACGCATTTGTAAGCTCCTCTGCCAAACAATTTTCTCCATAACAGCCTTACTTGATGCTAGTGGCTCAGGATGGTTAAAAAGCCCCTCATCCATACCAATACTGCCATTACTGCTTGATCTTGCAGATGACAAATCCGAGCAGCTTCTGCTCATCCTGGATTTTTGGCTACGATATTCCTCAAAATATGCATTAACACGGGTAAATGTGGTGATAGACAAGGTCACCTGTCAATCCCTGAAAGTTTCACTAAGGTGTCTCTATTGAAAAGTAAATTTTCCAATGATAACATGATTCAAATACAGCCCAAGGTCAAATAATAAAAAGAAAAAACATTTGAATTCAGCAAAGGCCAAAGGAAAAAGTAAAGTGCAAATGATTGAACAAGATACATACCTCCCTCTGAGGCTTCCGATCGTCCAAATCATATCTGTAATTTGGAAGTGGGACCTTACTGAAGACAACAACCTTAGCATACACATGGCTGCCAAAACCAAATGCAATTGAAATTACTCGCAATGAAGACCTATTCCTCACTCAAAACAATAACACTCAGGTAGTGAACAAAGAATAGAAGAACCACCTATACAACCCCATTCTGCTTGCTAGAACTGCTATTCGCTCAAAATCACGCCTATCCTTTTTCTCTCTCGAGATCAACTCGTGCTTACTCTTGTCATTTAAGAGCACGGTAAATTTCCGCTTCCACTCATCCGTATTATCATTAAGGGAAGCATTCTGATAAGGAAATTTTGAAGCACGCATGCAAACCAAAAGAACACAAATTAAACTCAAATACAACTTGCACAAACATGTACACTTACACTTCGAATAACAATTGAAAATGCAGGACGTTAAAAAAACCAAAATAGCTCACCGTTACCGAGGGAGGTTCGAATTCACGATCGGAGCCTTCCTCGGAAACAGTGTCGTCATAAGCAGAAACGAAACGCGAATGAGCCTTATCGGGAACTGGTTCCGTCAACGACGGTTGCAGAGTAGAAACAGCGTGTGTAGGGTTTTCGTGGGGTTTGGCGCTAACTGGAGAGGGAGAGTTGTTGAAATTGGCGACGGAGCGTAAACGGTGGTGCGGCGGAATGTAAACGGAGCTGTAGGAGGACAGCGTGCGGCGGTCCTTCATGGGCGGAAACGGAAGGGGGTTGGAGGGTTTTAGGGTTTTGGGAATGCAGGAAGGTTGCGTAACGGAGAGCATGTAAATCTGTGCGTCGTCGTTTCGGTTAGTGATTCTTTCGTTCGTGGTTCTCCACTCGTATTCTTCAGGTTAAACTCTGTTCTGTTATGTGTGCGCGAGAAGAATGACTCACTCAAAAGCAGATTATGATGGAGAGATCTATCTTCCACGCTCCCAACGGCGCGTGCAAGCTGGGATTAAAACTTAGAGTAAGTTAGATGTGAGTTGACTCGTTTTAACTCGTACATTCCAAAATTCGGTACTGTATTACCTAACTCCTATATGTTTTGACTCCTTAACTCTCGGCTTCGTCGACCAACATGCTTAACATGCATAAATATCACTATATATTATATTTAAAATAACAACTATTTATTTGTGCCACTATTGTATTCATTAAATCGTCTAATCATATTTCCTAATAATAACCATAAAATTACGAACAATAATATGGTTGGACAAAATGAACATGAGATTCCTCCAGGATATACGTTCTTGTTAAGATCTTCAAAATTTAATGCTAATTTTAACTCAAATCCGGCCATCGAAATAACAAAACAAATCAAAAGGTTATTAATCAAATTATGTTTAAAGAAAAAAAATATATAGACAAAATTCTTATAACTATGCATATGGGTTATCTTTTAAAAGATTAATATTAAATTCTTAGAACAAGAACTAAAGAAAATAAAGTCATTTTATTTGATTAATCATGATAACCTGTTTTTTTATATTTTCCAAGTACAAAAATCTATAACATGGATTCTACAAACAAAGAAAAATGACTTTTAAGTCCCAAATATACAAAATCCCCTCTTATGATAGAAAAATATATAAAGTATGGAAAATAAGAGTTACTCAGGTTCACAAATCTACATCAGTTTCTTGGTAGAAAAAATACAAATATCAAATTAAATGTTTTAATTGACAATATTTAGAATATTCCAAAATACAACGGTCAGAATGAGTAACAAGTCGCTAGAATGAAGTAAAACATTAATAGCACATTATACAAGTTCTGTAATGCAAATAACAAAGGAGTTTTGTTAACTTCACCTGTCTCTCCCTCTGAGAAAAGGTTTACACATTTTGCCCTACTTACGGGGCCTAACAAAGGAGTATATACTTCATTTAAAGACCTCTCTGAGGCAAAATAAGATCAGTTTTGGTCTACTTACACAAGATTCAATTCTAAAAAAAAAGTCCAGATGGCTTTAAGATTACAAACATTTGATGAAGAAAAAAATAAAAATGGCTCTCTTGTTAGAACCAAAAGTTCAAACACAAACCTATGTAGAATAGCATATAAAGGGACAGTAATGGGATTATTTTCTTCCCTTTTATATCCCACTGGAAGGGATTTTGTGATTTGTTCGACAGCTGCTAGAGCTGTTTTGCAATCTTTGCCTAAAAAATGTTGTATTCCTTCCATTAAAATTTTTAAAATTAAAAATAAAAAAAATAAGGCAGGGAATCAGAGGGTGAGCAAAAAGTATAGCAGCAGATAAATGGAGGAGAATAAAGGGATTTACTGAATACACTATAAAGTAATATTTATAAAAGAGTATAGATAATCATAAGGTTTAAAAAAATCTTTTTTTTTTGTGATTAATTGATATACAAAAACATGATTAAACATAAAAAAAACAGATATACAAGAAAGAAAATAAAAAGATCTAGAAGAAAATATATTTGCAAAGACTATGGTAATATGCAAAGTATTCCTCAACCCACAAAGGTAGATCCATGGGACTTAGGGTTCTCATGGTTCTCCTTACCTTAACCTGCTCAATCTACAAAGGGTATCCTAGCGAATACAAATCAGTTCAATTACAAATATACTCAGAGGTATCCAAGGATTTCTCGCTTTGATACCAGAAAGAAAGAGGGGGGAAAATGGGGAACAAAACAAAATATAACAAGTTATAACTTTTTATCTCTTCTGTTAGTTAACATGACTACTTAGCTTGCAAAGAACCTAAAACCAGGTTAGATGAAACTAAAATTGTCCAAGATAAAGTCAGTTATAGCTATAAAGTTCAAGATAAGATTATGAGATGTTGAATCTGGCATAGCCGGTAAGAAATCTCCTCATAAACTTACATAAACATGAAAAATGAATTATAAAAGACGAAAAAGTAAAGACAGATAATTAAACAAGTTCATAATAAGATTATGAGATGTTGAATTTGACAGAACCGGTTAGACATCTCCTCATAAGCTTACATGAACATAAAAATAACTATACAAAATTTTTAAGCCTTTAAATGATTATCACATCTTTTAATAAATATTACTTAAGGCATCCAAGGATGCCCCTTACAAGAAAACTACTCCATAAGAGAAAAGAAAAATAAAGAAAACTTACTTAGATCAGGGGGGAAAATAAGGGGTGATCTGAAATACTTCTTTTATTGATGGAGAAAAATATACATAAGAGAGAGAGGGATAGAGAGAAGGAGGAGAGAAAGGAGAGTAATGAATATAAAATTAAAATGTTGGGACTCATATCTAGACATATGAGTCTTTAAGAAATGGGTTTCGTGAAAATTGGTCTGCCGACGCTAAAGACAATATTAAAAATATTATTAAAATATTATTTTTATTTTATTTTGATAGAAAGATTTCTATCAATTTGGCTATCAAAAGATTGATTCAGTCTTTCCATCATTAACACGCAAGGCTTAAAGGGTCTAACAACGTGTAACGGTAGAGGAATCTTGACAAGGTTGCGAGATATCATTATCTGTCATTAATCTTTGTCTTCTTTTGATATTGTTATAAGTGCTTATGTTATGAGAAGCTTCTAGAAATCTTCTAAGTCATCTTCATCTTCAATACTCATGGGATATAGAGAGCCAATTCTTGAACTATTTTGTCGTAGATAAGAAGCTTTGTCAAATTTTACCCAAAGACTAATTGTGGTAGTTTTGGCTAACAACTCCTTTATAATATCTTCTTCTTGGAATTGATCATACCTTGTTGAAGAGAAAGGAGAGTTATGATCATGATCAATTTTTTGGAGTTTAACATTAAAGAAGATGGCAGTGAATGACTCAGAATCCAAAAACAAGTGATGTTTTGTTGAACTGTACTCGCATTTTATGTCGCTGGGGTGTGTAAAGAATATTTCAATGAAATATTCTTCACTGAAAGAACACATTTATCTAGTAGTTAATCTTTGGACCGAAAAATGGTTCTGTCACTGCATTTTTGAAAATGATTATTCTTTTCATAAATCCTGAAAAGAATAATTCTTTAATTAATCTTTTGTTGATCCGGGTGGGAATACATTCCACCAAGTAAGGGTTTATTCCGATGTTGTGTTGATCGGAAGACGAGGAAACAAAATTATCTTGATATTGGACTATCCTCAAGTAAAGAGTCTACTAATAGTTGGAATAACCAGTTCTGGAGTTCTTCAAGTTCTACTAATAGGGCATCTGAAACATGTTGGTAGATTTTTTCTTGGATTGGGCTTGGTAAAAGGCCCAAAAATTTTCTTTTGAATGACCCAATATAGGCCATATGCTTTTTAAATTTTCTAAAATCCATGGTTTTGAAATCATAATCCATCATTTGGTAAAAATCTTCAATTTTGGTTTTTAATTTTGTATTTTCTTTTTCCAAACAGGAAATGTGGTTTTCAAAATCTTTTCTTTGTTGAAAAAGAGAAATTTTCAATTTTTATTCCATTTTTTTGGAAAGAGCCCGATGTTGTCGAAGTTTGATGAAATCATAAATTGACAAATCCTCTTGTTTTATTGATTTTTCAAAAATGAAATTACCAACTTCTGGATGATTCAGAATGCTGTTGTCACCTCCAACATAACTGACAATTACTTGTACAGCTTCTTTAAGGTTACAAAATCCTTAAAATTTGGTGTGTTTGTCATTACCTATAGCCTTCAAAAGAGAAGGATATGATAGGTAGACGTCACGTTTGTCACCAGTGAAAAGACAATAGGCCTCATTCTTGGGTTTTTTAAAAAGAGCAGATAATAGTTTTGAAAATTAGTAATTTAATACATTGATAGCATTAAATTTTGTTGTTGGACTACTGGCTTGGTGAAGAGCATCAAGTAGAACCTTATGTTCCCTGGAGACGAAATAGCTTTTGAGCAATTTGAATCCATTGGATGAATCCCCTGAAAGAATAGGGAGATGTTGTGTTCCAAACTGAATTAATTCAGTTATTGAGGCTGGAGACTTATCTTTATTGATCGGACTTGCCATATCTATACTTGTGTGATTGATAGAATTTTACAATACCCTTTTATTATATTCATCACAGAAAAAAATTATTGTATTCATTAGACAATACCCGAAATCGTCTAATATATTTCCTAATTTATTATATTTATTATCCATTTGAAAGTCATTTTCCTGTGGATAAAGGTGTATGAATTCATTATTTGTGAAATCATTTATTAACTCATAATTTTTATGGCTTTCATAAGTTGATTTCATCCGTATATTCTATTATACTAATTATTGATAGTATTTCAGAATCAGTAGAAACATCTTCATCAATTGGAAGAAGGTTCATGTGACAAGATTTTATGAGTTTTGCCTCTTTTGTGTAAAGATTTGCAATATTGGGACAATCTCTAAAGAAATGTCCTGGTTAGTTACAGGCAAAACATTTTAATATCTGTTTTTATGTTTTATTTTCTCTAAATTTCTTAACATGTTGGTTGGGATTTAGAGTTGGTTTTCTTGAATTTGAAGATCTTATTGTATAAGTCTTCGTAGGTGTAACAAGTCTTTGTTTTGTAGAATAAGAATTCTGATTATACTTAGGTTTATTCCTAAGTATATACCTCCTATTTGGTTTTTTATTTATTGTATTGTTGATGTGTGTATATTTGTTTACAAATTCTAGTTTCATAATTTTTCGTTGCTTTTGTATTGTAATATGTGTGCAAATGTCTTCCATCACTTTCATG